GAGGTGAATATTGTATCTGAGGGGAATGGTTGTCCTAATTTTATTTAATCTGTTTAATAATAATGATATTTCTGCTGGCCCTTGCCTAATACATTAATTTGTTGACAATTTAAAATTTATCATCTCTCTTAAGTAAGCTTGGAGTGAGAATTACTCATTAATCTAAGAAATATTTATGTATATTGTAGGTCAACAGACTTGCCCATACAGGAATTCGAGTTGTGGAATTTATGTAGGACTTTTTATTGAATTTGAGTAAGTTAAAAATAACACATTAGTCATTCTGAAAAATAATTTTCCTTTACAAATTTCAATGCAGCAATTTATTGCAGCCCCACTGCTGATGCTATAAATATAACTCATAACAATACATTAAAATAATGACTTTCATTCCAAATATTTACGAACATATTCACGCAAGTTTCCCATTTATTTAAAATTTATTAATTTACAACCATGCTATCTTTAATTCTCTCTTGTACTACCACATATTTAATTCAATTTGCATACAACTTTATCTTCTTACATTAAATGTATTTAATGTTTATGCACTTTCCTTGTTGGTGACAACTGCACTCTTGGCCAGTGATACTGCAATTGGACTCTGTTCCAAATTCATGGCATCAACAATGTCTAGCCTGGCCTCTGTATGAGTTCGAATTTCAACTCGTCAAACAATCTACAATTATCTTTATAAAATTGACTCCTCATATTATTCCAGTGTTCACATGCTTCTATCTACTCTTTAACACTAACTGCTTTGGGCCATGTAGACTGAGAGTCACGCTATTTGTGTCAAACTTCTTCCTGCCGGCCCCATTGTCAGCTGAGCTTACTCGCCGAAAGATACTGCGCAAGACATCTCTGTTATCAGTATGTCCTAGCAATAGTCGAAAGCGCATCTACACAAACAAACTAGTCCAGAGGCTACCTGGACATTGCGGTTTCATGTATGATCTCATCCAGAGGCGCCCAGCAACAAACTGACTGAGCACAACTCATCCAGAGGCTACCACGCATGGAAATATTTTGCATGTCAACTCATTTAGAGCTGTCAAGTGTTAAATGCTATTTGTAAGTAGTTCTTACTGCTTTTAGCAAGAAAACCATGCTCTCAATCATCTGGTATTATTTTGTGTGTGATCTCATACTGTAGCTGCATATGTTCTCTCCTGCAGATCATATTACGTGTCTTTCTACTCTCTTCCCGTCTGAAAGTTCTCCAATTTTTTCTCTCTTTGCTAGATACTGATCGTCATCTTCATTTGTTGTCCACTCCTCTTCCTCCCATTGGCTGTCACTCACTACACTTACTGTATTGTTTTTCTTTAATAATATGCCCTTTTTATTTATTACTGTTATTTCCCGAGTATGGAAATGACTAATGTTCCCTATTAAAACCTTTACATTTTATTCTCCACTTCCATACACTGGTCACATCCTATTTTGGCCTCCATTATTTATTTCTGGCTAACTGCATCCATTTCAAAATTTGTTTGTTTGTTTTTATGTAATAATGTTCCAAATTTCTCTTTTTCTTCCATGATTCTTGTAAATTTTGTGATGGTCAAATTTTACGAGGAGGGGGAAAAATAAGTTTATCTGCAAATTTGAATGTCTGAGTGTTACTTTTACAAAATATTATCTTTGTGTTACAATATATTTATTATGAGATTCTAAGTTATTTATGGTTCTATTCACTGAAATGACTTGGCTGTCTCTTTTAGGCCATGTTGAACTCTCTGCCTGGCCACCATTTGGCTGATGTATGTGCATCTCTTGTGAAAGCATCATATACCGAAAAGTTAGAAATATTGGATGCTTTAGATGTGACAGAGCGTCTTAAGAAAACACTTACTCTTATTTCTCGTCATTTTGCTGGTAATTATATGTAAATCGTATTTTTAATTATTTCACAAAATAATTACACATTTAACAAATGTGCTGATTTGTTGACGCATTAAATATTTTTTGTAGAAATGGATTCTTCTTCTGATCAGTCAGTAATATTAAGAAAGCCAAAGCAAAGAAATTTCCGAATCGTAAAGGGACATGAACTAATGCCTATGGAAGATGATGAAATGAACCAGCTGGAGAATAAACTGAAGTAATTAGAAAATCTTTTAACCTCTTCTGATACTTAAAAAAGCTTCTCAGTCTTAAATTTGTTTGTTTTTCTTCTTTACAGCACTCATTTAATATGTGTAAATATAGTTGTCAATCTGATTTATTGATTAATATTGATTTTACTAATAATTGAAAACCAATCTTTGTCACTATTGATGATATGTGTACTTTGAGTTTAATTGACAAGATTTATTTGACTCTGATCTGGTTTCAGAAAGAATTGTGATTTGTCATTGTTTTCTCCGTGATCAATTATTCCTTATTAGCTAATCATTATCTGTGTCCAAGACAGTGATTAACTAATCATCATCATAATTATACGTTGCTAGGCGTGTCTTCTGTTCCTATTTCTCAGTAGACCAGGAGTCTTACCCCAGGTAGGCCTGATCTAGCCATTTCTTTTGTGGTCTTCCGACATCCCTTCGCCCTATTAGTTTGGACTTCAACACTAGTTTCGGGAATCTTTCTTGTTTCGTTCTGTTAACGTGAGAGGGTCATTTTCTCTGTACATCTTTATTTCTTCTACTATATTTTTAGCCTATCCTTCAGTGTCATTCCAGCAAGATGACATAGGAATCTCATTTGTATTGCCTCTGGTCTTGCTCACTACTTTTCATTATCCAGAGGTCCGTCTTGTACAAGAGGATTACTTTAGATCGTCATATTGTGGATTCTTAGTTTGATATCTTTAGTCATATCTCTCCTAAAGAGTCTTTTGATAATCGATTCATCCTGTTGTATTTCTGTCTTCTGATCTGTTCAATGAGGCTGTGATTAACTAATAATGTCATAATTGTTCTTGGAGAAAACAATAGCAAATTACTTTCTATCAAAAACCAGACCATGTGTTTTCATGATTTAAGAATTATATCTGTTGAAGTGGAGCAAATTGTTCTCCATAAAACTGGTTTTCTCCCACCAAACCAGTTAACCCTATATCTCCCACCAACCATATTAACCCTAAGTGATCGATATAATTGACTGCCAGTTTAAACGAACCTTTCTGTGATTTATTTTTTATTTAAATATGTGAAGAAACACATTCAATGTTTTCTGTCAAGTTATCCTAATCCTTATTATTCAACACAGCGAAGCTTCTCTACCTCCAGAAGTTCATAAAGTTGTAATGAAAGATTTGAATCGCCTGAAGAAAATGCCATCTTTTGGACCTGAAAAAGGGATCATAAGAAATTATCTTGAAATTGTGTCTGACATGCCATGGTCTAAATCATCTAAGGAAACAATTGATATTTACAAAGCTCGAAAAGTAAGTATTTTATTTTCTCTGTCACCTTATGTTCTGTTTTCATTCTTTTTGTGTGTAATAAGCAGATTTTGGATGATATTATTGATTTTCTCTGTTTGGCATATATTGTTGATTGCAAAAACTAAAATAATTCTACTAATAACAGGACTTAGATGCAGATCACTATGCTATGGATAAACTAAAACAAAGGGTATTGGAATATCTGGCAGTTAGACAGTTGAAGAGTAATTTAAAAGGACCTATTTTATGTTTTGTTGGCCCACCTGGTGTGGGAAAGACAAGTGTTGGTCGTTCTATTGCTCAAACGTTAGGCAGAGAGTTCCATCGGTATGTAATGATATTTTAAGTTCAAGTAAATATTTATAAAAAACATGCATAATATTTAATTATTAGGTTCTTTTCAAAGAAAGACTCTCAAGAAGGAAAAGTCTAGAAGAAAATAACAATAAAATTTAATGTATTGTATTTGATATTCGAAAAATTTAAAATGTGTATGGATGTGTGAAAACATCGTGTTTTTAGGAACAGGATTTTTTGGAATTTCAATCCAAACAAGGGTTGGATCAAGGGTTTCAATCCAAACAAGGCAAATACGGGTTGGAATGAAAATGTTTAAAGTGAAGAATCTAACGACATGCAACTTTAATTCTTTAAATTGGTCTTGTTTTTAGGTTCTCTAAAGGACTGTCATTTTTAAGTTCCTCTATTCCATTTAAGAACTTAATTTCCATGCCAGTCATTGTTTTTATATAATAAGTTATTATTAAACTCAAACACTTATTAAAGGCTTTCTGCAATGGATAAATTTATTGAGTCAATTTTGTTAAATTTCTGAATGCTGTATTTAATGCATCAAAAATATGGGTTTAGATTTGAACTTATCTAGTGTTTCTGGTTCTATCAAAATCTTTCATTATAAGTGTTGCCTAAGCATAAGATAGATACTTATTAAAAATTATATTTAATTTTTCTTGCAGAATTTCTTTGGGTGGTGTTTGTAATCAGTCGGATATCCGTGGTCACCGAAGAACGTACATTGGGGCATTGCCAGGTCGCATAGTTCAAGGTTTGAAAATCGTTGGCGTAAATAATCCTGTCTTTTTGTTAGATGAAATTGACAAGATGGTATGTTAAGATGACTTTCTCATTCTTTGTTATTTTGCAATAACGTATTGTGTGTTATATAAGACAGTTGTTTTTATGCATTCCTGTAGGGGTCTGGAATTCATGGAGATCCTGCAGCAGCTCTCCTGGAAGTACTAGATCCTGAGCAAAATTGCACATTTGTGGATCATTTTTTGAATGTTCCATTTGACTTGTCCCAAGTATTGTTTATTGCTACAGCAAATTCTGTCAAATCTATTCCCCCTGCTTTATTGGATCGAATGGAATTGGTTAATGTTCCAGGATATACTCAGGTTTGAAAGTTTCGTATTAGTATATTGCATTAAGAAGTATGAACAATATACAAATGAAAACATTATGGATCTTTATAGGAAGAGAAACTTCATATTGCAACAAAACATCTCTTGCCCAAGCAATTAGAAGCACATGGTCTCACTCCAGATTTGGTCCATCTCCCAGATGAAAGTGTCAAATTAATAAGTAAGTTTGTGTGTTACGTAAAAAAGATGGAATGTGTCACAAGATTAAAACAACTTATTTCAATGAGTAGTAATTCTTCATTTTTCTTTCACTGTATTTTCAGGAATTAAAAATGCATATCTTGTGTTAAGCTGATATTCCGTGTTCATGATTTTCTCAGTAAAATATGCTTTTGAGCTATATTTTTTTCATTCCTTTCTGACTTGATTCGGGTTTGTTTAGTAAATTGTGCTATGCTTAGTCTACACAATTTATTTCATTTTCATTGGATTGTTAAATTGTAAATCTAAAAAATTGTAAATTTGTTTTGGTAAAACTGAAACTTGTATGTCATTAAGGGTAATTTTCTCATTAGACTTGTTTCACAGTTTCAGATTACACACGTGAAGCAGGTGTTAGAACTCTAGAAAGGAAGTTAGGAGCACTATGTCGAGCAGTGGCTGTGCAAGTAGCTGAAGAAAAATTCCCTTCGCCATCCGGAGAAAAAATTTCCACTTTAGCAACTTCTTTCCCTGTTGATCTAGATCCATTGAGGGTTGAGAAAATATTGGGAGTAAGTACTGCACTGACATGATTACCATTTTTACCAAATTATAAGAAATTCTTTCCCCTAAATATTTCATTTGAAGAATGACTTATATTCACAGATTTAGTGGGGAATTACGTTTTAACACTACCTTTTCATGTTAAAAAGTTCGACTGCTGATATATCAATAAGGTCCAAAGTTGATAAAAACCATACATATCTGTAACACTATTATATTTGTAAACAAATTCTTGGCACCCTCCCCAGGTTTTCTGAGCTATTCAGACCAATATTTTTAAATGAAATGGTAAAACAAGAAACTCAAACAAATTGCATTGTGAAAGAAACACAATGTATAAATGAATAAAAATCGTAGCTGAGATTTCGTTACGATGTGCTAATTGCTGACACTATGCAGACTCTGTTTGACACTGAAAAATGAGACTCTCCATTTTCTTAGAGACTGAAATGGAACTAGTTCTACCAGAGCACATACTTTCTCACACTATTGGGAACTGTTATGTTATATTATGATATTGCAATTTCTGCTCTCACTTCAAACATCTTTTTAGAAAGTCCAAACCAATTCAAACAAAGCACTTGCATTATGTATTTGCAAATACTTTGATGGTCTGGAACAGTAGCCCTTTCTTACTATGAGGGTGGTCCCAGAAGTACCCGACCCAACAAAGAAAAAACAAAAATTTTGGAAGAAAAATGTTTATTTTTCAACATAATCTCCTTTGAGCTGTATACACTTTTCCCAGCGATGTTCAATAAGTTCGATACCCTTTTTATAATAAGAACTGTCTTGCTCCTCAAAATAGCCGTTAACTACCGACATCACTTCTTCATTGTTGGAAAATCTTAAACCACTGAGCCAATATTTCAAGTTTGGGAACAGAAAATAATCAGAGGGGGCTAAATCTGGCGAATAGGGTGCATGAAGTAACAATTCAAAGTTTAATTCATTAAATTTGGCCATTGCAATAACGGATTTGTGAGCTGGTGCATTGTCCTGATAAAACAACACTTTCTTCTCAGCCAAGTGTGGCTGTTTTTGCTTGATATCTTCGCACAAGCGTTGCAGTAAGTTCGCATAATACTCGCCATTGATAGTTTTTCCTTTTTCAAGATAGTCGATGAAAATTATCCCCTGCGCATCCCAAAAAACCGACACCATGACCTTGCCTGCAGATAGATCGGTCTTTGCCTTCTTTGGTGCGCGTTCTCCCTTTTCAGTCCATTGTTTTGATTGTTGTTTTCTCTCTGGGGTGAAGTGGTGGACCCATGTTTCATCCGTGGTTATGAAACAGCGTAAAAATTCTGCTTTATTGGGTGAAACTTCGCTAAACACTCGATTGAAACATCTTCACGACATTGTTTTTGCTTGAGTGTGAGCAAACGCGGCCCCCATCTTGCACACAGCGTTCTCATGTCTAAATTTTCAGATAATATGCGATGTAATTTTCGAAATGCCTACTATGTCTGCTAGCTCGCGCACTTTGAGTCGACGATCACCCAGTATCGCTTTGTGGATTTTCTTTACCATTTCTGGAGTTGTCACCTCGATGCTCATCTTGGCAGCTCGTACAGCCTTGTTTAAACTCTGCTACCCAATATTTTACTGTGGTAAATGAAGGCACAGACTCACCCAGAGTAGAATCTAGTTCAGTTTTATACTGGTTGGGCTGAGGCCTTTCAAATCAAAGTATTGGATCACATAACGATGACCAATTTTACAAATTCACTCACAACATTCACTATTGATTGTTGCCAAACAAGTACTAAACAATGTAGCGTCTTCAAACTTTATATTTTTCGAAACACTACCACAAGATCTAGATCAGGCTGGGTACTTCTGGGACAACAAGAGAAAAGAACAAGAATAGATTTCATCTGTTATAATTTTTGCTGCTCATTATACAGACAAGCAAGGATAATTTCACATATAAATTGAACGTCTAGAACTGAACTCAAATATGTCACTGTATAAGAATGCATAAGAAACTAAAGTATCATTGTGTAATGTCCATCTTATGCATATCTGTATATGTATTCTTCCCAAATTTAATATAGTTGAATTTACCATTTTATTGAATGTAGAGGCATTGCACCATTAACATTACGTAAATAAAGCCTCCTTATCTGATACCTTTCCATTCTAAGTCTCTATCGAACAATGAAATTCTCAGAATAACTTTTCAAATTATCATATTGCAGCATTGTATGGCAGTGCGTAGTGAAAAATTATTTGAAGTAATTCCACATAAATAACTCTATTGCTAATTTACTGACTAAATAATGATGATAAAATTTGTGCGCAAGGTTTTTGAATTTTTCATTCATATTACTTTTCAATCATATTTTTAAAAGTGAAAACCAATTGCGCTATTTACGGTTAGGATAGCTCTAAATGATGAAAAATAGTGAAATTTCGTGTTTTTCGATTTTTATTGGGATATATTCTCTTTTAAATGCTTGGTACTGCTTCTTGCTTCGATTCTTAGTTTTTGAGCAAATCATTTTTTTTTGAGCGAGTGTCAATTGTGAAGTTCTTAGCGAGTGAACTTCAGTTGCAGTTTCCTGATTTGGAAATTTTCAGCACATTCATGCCTGTCAAACATCATAAATCATAAACTGTAAAGGGTAATAATATAATTCTTTTTGCAGCTTGTAACCCTTAATTTGTTCTAGTGAATGAACCAGGATAGTTAAGTCTCACTAAAAGTTTGTTATATGAACTAAAATGTCCAGAATACATTTATAAACAATTATTTTTTCTCAAAAAAATCAAATCCTGTTTTTTTAGTTTTCACAGTATCTTTACCATTCTAGTTCCTTCACTAGAATATACAATTGTGATTAATAAAAAAAAAAGAATGTCAGACAAGTGTGGTTCCATCTCTCTCACAGTCTTTCTCTGTCTCTCTCTTTTTCTCAGTCTGTTTCTGTTTGTTTGTCTCTCTGCATCTTTCTCTCTCCCAGGAGAAATTTCACAATCACAGGGGCAGAATACGCAATGAAGACATCTTAATAATCGTACTTCAGTGCACAGTGAGTTGTGTAAAGAGCGCTGTTGTGAAAGCGCCCTGGTCAGAGTCCTTCCACATAAAATCGTAATCATTGCTTGCCATGTGTGCAAGCAAATGCATATTCTCATCATACTATGCCTATATTCTTCTCAGAAGTGCAAGTAATAAGTTGGCAAAGTTTAATTGCACTCACATGTGCATTAAGCATGATCAACCAAAGAAACATTGTCTTTTTTATAAAAGATTATCTTGTTGAAGTGCTCACAGATCAATGAATGCAGTTAAATCCATGACACTTCCCTTCTCACAAGCATGTTTGTCATTTACTTTGTTACTAAATACAGAAATGAGTTCATTTTTTGTGTAGTTAAAAAACATTTTATTGTTCATTTAATCTTAAAATGGTTTCAATAACTGTGGTTGTTTCCTTGGAGGGGGGGAGGGTTATGAAATTACTGATGCGCAAAACCTAAGAAACTCATTTATAGTCACCATGAACATATTTTTGAAAAACTTAACATTTTTCAAGTGTGAAGCTATTTTTAAGATGATGGTAGATTTTGGGACACTAGTTAAAGATTTTAAAATGTTCTTTTTTGCAGCCTGCTATCTTCTCTAAAGCAGACTTGTGGTCTAGACTTGGCCAGCCTGGAGTGGCTGTTGGTTTAGCCTGGACGTCAGCCGGAGGAGAGGTAATGCTGGTTGAAGCTAGCAAGATGGAAGGTGATGGAGAATTAGTTCTGACTGGTCACTTGGGAGATGTTATGAAAGAATCTGCTCGTTTGGCCCTCAACTGGGTTCGTACCCAGGCATCAAAAGTAAGTGTAGTGTTTCAGGCTTGAAATTGTTTTCATGTTGGCATATTTTTCTAATTGTTTTTGACTTTGGCATATTTTTGTAGTATGGATTGAAATTAAATGGGGAGACTCTTGCTCACACTGATCTTCATATTCACTTCCCTGCTGGAGCTGTTGGGAAAGATGGACCTTCTGCAGGTATCACCGTTGCAACAGCTTTGATGTCCCTCTTTAGCAGTAAACCTGTTGCATCAGATGTTGCTATGACTGGGGAAATAACTCTGCAAGGTGTTGTATTGCCTGTAAGTGATGCATTTTGATTATTATTATATTATTATTTATTTATTTTTCTTTTTGAATGTGCCACTTCAGAATATGCTTGGTCAACTTTCTGCCTCTTTCTTCTTTTCTGTGCTTCCATATCTCTTTCATTCTGGCCTGATGTTTCTCTTTCCTCTCCTCAGTCCAAATGTCCTGTGTGTTCTTTTTTGGCGTGTCCTCAAATCCTGGAAATTACTTAAATTTGGTCCTTATTGAAGACCGTTCAGTAATATCTGCTGGTGTAATTTTGAGCTCCTCCAAAGTCCTTTTCAACTTCTTTAAACCACGTATTGGTCATCTTTAATTTTGTTAAGTAATGAAAGTGTCTTCCAGTTAATTTTTGCGAATGTAATTTGTAATGAGTCCATGGAATGTAATTCTCCTTTTTGTAATCGAATCCATAATTTTCGCAATATTTTTGTATAGTTCTTTGTAATGATGTCGCTGGTATTGATCTCCAATTTTAATTGGGCCCAAAATTGTCCTGATATTTTACGTTTGATTGTTTCCATTTCCTCTAACATTTTCTTATTCAAGGTTAGACATTCCACTGCATAGAATGCCTCGGGTCTAACTACTGTTCAATAATACTAAATTTCTTCATTGGTTAAAAATTTTCTCCTTACTATAAACATCTTTAGTTAAGTTTGCAGCTAACTTCAATTAGTAAATTCTAGATTTAATGGCTTCTTTCTCTAAGATACTTTCCTCAATAATTTCTCCAAGATATTTGAATTTTTCATTTCTGGATATTATACCATATTTTGTCTTCATTGTTGCAGGTGATATCTTAATATTTGTCATAAATTTGTTTTTGTCGAAAGAAATTTATTGGCTGGCTTTCATGGGATGTTCACTCAAAAATTCAACTTGCTGAATAGTTGTTTCTACTGCGTCTGACAATACTGCTAAATCATCTGCGAAAGCCAGTTCACCGTTATGTTGTCTCATTTATACCCAAATTGTGTCCTGTCATTGATATGTTCTTCCAGTGTCTTCCTTCATTCTCTTATAATGTTTTCCAAGACAGTTGAAGAGCAGTGGTGAAAGACCATCCCCTTGGCGAACTCCTGTTTTAATCTCAAAACTTGTAGATATTTCACCTCCAAATTTCACTTTGAAGGAATTATAATTTTCTACAACTTCTGCATCAAGAATATTGCCATTTGACTAAGGGCTGAGGTGCAAGAAGGCAAAGTTTGTCAAAAAATTATAAGCAATAAAGAATTTTTGAAATTTTTTTTTGATTTTCATTACCAAATAACTCGAAAGTTATTAGGAATAGAAAGAAATTGTTAGAAATAATCTCATAAGGACATTTATCAGCTTTCATTATAGCAGAATAGTAACTTTTTCATTAGATGCACTATATTTTTTATGTAACTGAATTAATTTTTAATAGAACTTGTAGGTAAAAAGTAAACTTTCTGATTGTCGGTAATATTTATATTAGTAAAAAACAGTTTATCTGTTTTTTCTGTCAATCAATTATTGAAAATGAAATATGACAACTTTTTGGAACTTGATTAGTTACATAATCACTTTATAATGTGAACAGTGATTTACATGCTGTTAAAAGCATCAAACAGTGAAAGTACTAAATTTGCTAAAAGGAACTAATTTGCTTAGTTAGAATTATCATTGTAACATCATCATAGGTGTTGCCTTTCATTTTTTTTTAGTGTGTGGCAGCATTTTTGCATTCTGTTTCCACTACTTCTTGCATTGAACAGACTAGTGAGTGAATATAATTTATGTTTTCACAATTCTGCTTTCACAGAATAGATCACTTATACTGTTTGTTTCTTTTTCTTCCTTTTTCCTTTAATGTGCTATCTGACATGTTCTTTTGGATTTGAATTAGGATGATAATTACGGAGCTGTTGGGGTATGTTTTTGGTTTTCAGCAACATTTTTTTCATAATGAATGGCACTCATGTTTAATAATTGTGCTTTAATGAGTAAGATTCTTGGCTATTCTCAACTCCCATTGTGGTAAAACTGCCCTCCTTCCTTGTTGACAGGTGTATCAGAGTGGTTCTTTCTTTATTGTAGATGGCTCCTCTGGAAGAAATGTTAGTCCAGCGAAGGGATCCCTCGCACTTGTACATTACATATATTCACAGTCCAAGTGTTTTTCAAAGTTGTCAAGCTACAGTTTTCAATTTATTTTGCTTTAGGTGGGTGGTGTTAAAGAGAAAGTTCTTGCGGCACATCGAGCTGGCCTCAGGAGAATCATTTTACCCCACAAGTGTGAGAAGGATTTATTGGAAATTCCTTCTTCTGTTAAAGTGAGTAAAGTATTTAACTGAAGACAAATATAGTGTATGGTGTTAAATGAGCTGTGTATCAATCTCATTTTGATACTTTTGTCTATGTTTCAGGAAGAATTAGTGTTTGTATTTGTTTCACACATTGATGAGGTTCTACAGGCTGCTTTTGATGGTGGGTTACCATTTGTGGGTTCTCAGAGTATAGAGTTTACAAGCAAGTTGTAAATGTGTACACACAATATATGTATATTTGTTGGTGCCTTCTGAACTGTAAGGATTGCAAAATATGTTTGTGAGAATTTAGTTGATTATGTCACCATGACACAACTACACCGTGGATTGTGTTAATATTTTATGAATGTGTATATGATGTTAATATTTAAGAAATAAGTCTGTTAGACGAGGCAAGGTAAACTGTAATGATTCATTGGTTCATGTATTAATGTTTTGTTCAACTGTCTTCCATTTTATGAACATTTGTTTCAGGTTTGCATTTAAATGCTTCGGACTATTCCATATCCTTAAATTGTTGGTGCTTATCTTTCCTACTTAGGATTGTAGTTTGTATTAAGAAAATATATTTTTATGTAAGAAGGATTATTTTGTGTTATTTATTGCTTACTCTGTGGTGTGGACTGTTATTGGAAAATGAAGATCTCATAAATGTAGAATAGTTTTAATATAACATTTAAGAGTCAGAAAACTCTTGCAAGGAGCTTCAAACTTATGATCTCTGTCCATGTCTAGTGTGTAGGTTTCACTTCGCAATGGGGTTTTTACAAGTAAATGGATGTGATAAGTCTATCTCAAATTGGAAACATCACAGGTCCTTGTGTGATGTTGAAGTATTATCTTCTTCCTCTTTGTTAGAGGTGTAACTACTGGAATTCTTGCATATTAAAAAATTGAAGATTCTAGCTCAAATTTGACTGTGAACGAAGTGCGGTTCAATTTTTCTTTGACATCAACTTGAGCTCTGCACTTGTAGGACCAAAAACCTTAGCACAAAAAATGTGAAACAAAGGGGTGTCATAATCTCCAATATTGTAACGAACGTGAAGAATTCTGTTCACTTCTGCGATATGGCAAACAACAACAGTTACCTACAAGCAGAGTGGCATACATCTAACTTCACACTTCAAAGACACAGTAATACTTTGCTACGTGTGTCCAAGTATAGAAAAATACAATAGTACAGACTTTTACAAAGGCACTTTTCGAACTTTCAAACTCTAAATCAATACACTCTTTGCACTCTTAACTAAAACAATATTCCTGCAGATTTCACTTTGCATTCTAACTAAATCAATATTGCGGCAAATTCCGCATTTTCAGAAACACCATTTTCTAAAAAGCAGTTCCAATTTTTTCTTCAAACATTTTGTAAGGATAGTGCTAAGTGTACTGTTTGAGAACATTTTGCTGTATTCTTTTGTTGTTGTTTTTCCAATATGACATAAATGTTGTTTTTATAGTATCTCTCATGTCTTTAATATGCACATTTCCAATGATTTGTGTACATTATTGCATTTGGAATTTTGCAGTGTTTCAAATGACTTCCAAAAAAAAAAAAGTAATCAGTTTGAACAATGACTCACAGACTTGACGCAAGTTTCCCTATATAAGTTGACACGCTAAATCCGAATCTGAAGCCAGAATTGAGCCACCAAAGAACACTGGACACAATTTTGAATTTTGGTTTCAGTTTTAGATTAAACACGTCGACATGCGTAGAGAAACATGTCAAGACTTTGAGTTTGTCATCAACCCCATAAACGATAAAAAAAGAAAAGAAATGGAAGGTGGTGGCGTAATTCTGGCTTCAGATTCAACGTGTCAACTTTCATTCATAGATAAACATGTGTCATGTCTCTGGGTCTGACAACTCCCTAGAACATAACAAAACAAAATACACTTTCATAGTGATTTTTCAAGATTTAAAAAAATTGGAGTATGGTGACACAACTTGGCTTCAGATTTGGATTCAGCGCATCAAAATGCATAGAGAAACATGTGTAAACTTCGGGTGTGACAATGTTTTTTGTGCGTGCCTGTGTTTTCATTGAAATCCCTAATTTTTTTCAAATTTGCAAATATTCAAATCTTTCCGGAGGTTTCCTACAACAAAAAAATTTTTAAAAAATTTCTTCATGGAATCTGTCCCTAAAAAAACAAATTTTGATATGAAGTCATGTGCAATTTTTCGAATATTTGAGTACTTTTGGGGTAATTTTATAAGATGTATAATTATAATTCTAATTATAATTATAGTATTATAAGAAATATAGGCAATTTAATTTTGTTAACAATTTTTTAAATTAAAATTGGACCTTGGATACAGTAAAAAACGCTGAAGTGTTTATGTAATTCGCGCTAGAAAGTTATGATCTTTTTTATTAAAAACAGCTCCAATTTTTTTCTGTAAATTTTCTCTGCGTATGTAATAAGGAACGGTAAAAAATATGGTGCTAGTCTCATTTTCGGCTACAGCTCCGTTTTCGAAAATGAAAAAAATGTGATCATTTCAAAACCACAAAATCGGAAATTGCGATTTTTGCTTTAAACACTCTGTTGTAAAAAATCAGCTCATAAAAAATGTACATTTTATTTAAAAAACTGAGCTGATTTCGCTTAGTGTTCTCTCAGTGCGAAAGTTATGCTATATCTAAAAATATTTTCTAAAAATAAAACCCGCACGAAATAGTTTCAATATAGTTTCTCGGGTTTTTGCCTCGCCTACTCTAGAGACAGGTTCCCAAGATTTTTTGCACCCTTCTAATTTAGATGGAGACCGACCGTCCCTGCCAAAATCGCGTAGCGACCAGCCTCACGCGGGCCGTCGCTAATCCAGGAATTCGCGTCTACGCCGAGTATGATTGACTGAAACAGGTGGCCAATCAGAAGGCCGTCTGTCAATCGCGAATTGTAACGCATGAGAGCAATAGAATATAACTTTTTTCTGTAAGGAGAATAAAACACCTTTTCTGGAAGTTAATTTGCTTCTCAATCCAGATCTAATTTCACAATTTCTGTATCGGCTTCAGTTTTCATGTGATTTTTGTAATTTGTATGTCTCACACTATTATTCTGTATGTATTTGGCAAAATAACATGCTCTAATAACAACAGATTCACATGTATACGGAAAGAAAAGAACCACAAAAATGTGTGTAAAGAAAAGTGAAGAGGAGGCTTAGAATGTTGGGTCAGTATGAATGCCCTCTGCCTTCTGAATGTTAGTCACTGAAGCCTTAATCTTCATTCACGCTCTCAAGAGTTGTGGTACCGGCAATTCTTCACTGACATACAGGCACTATGTATGGATATTGTACCGATTTCTTCGTTTTTGAGGTGATTCCATCCCTTTGTGTCAGACAAAAATAACAATCTGTTACGTCATCTGTTGGTTCCTTTCAAACCATGGGAACCGCAAAATCATGTGTCGTGAACCTTTTACTCAACATGTCAGGAATATAACACACAGCACATATGGGAGGTCCATTTCTCGTTCTGATCACCTACCTTACATCCGAAATAAATGTCATAATACTTCGCAGAGGATTAAGGTTTGGCGTTTGCGATTTCAGGGTTAATTCTCCACACAGACATTGGGCTATTTACACAGTTACGAGGCGTTTCTTCGTCTTAATTAATACAAAGCACAAACTAGAACAATAAACGGCCACATCCAAGCGGCTTTCCAAGCTGTCAGATCTCTCAATGATGGAACGCAATTGGGAAAAAAAACCAACGGGATTCTGTTTGAGCGTGACTTATCAGCATGTTTCCAAACCCTTTTCATTTTCTACTTGTGTATTTTCTGAATTCAGTGTCATTTATAGGAATTCCTTGTTCACATGTCCATTGTTTCTGAACAATTACATATTCGAAATTGTTAAATGAAGCTACAGTAATATAACCAATATGCAGCGTTTTCAAACATTTCTATAAATATAGAGTAGCGTGTAACAACGAAATTGAGCTTGATGAGCAAAACCTGATTTCATATCCGAATTCAGTGCCCCAGTCTTCGTTAAGAGCACCATTCACTTTGGTACAAAAATGCTGCCGACTAGTGATTCCTCGGTTGTAAGGAAGTGCTACTGTTGCCTTGTCTTCAGTTTCCGTGGTGCTGGTTGCTCTGGAAGCAGTCGGGTGGTGGGTGACTCGTATGGCTATGTGGATTGTGGGTCCCTTGTAACCATTCGCCAAAAGAAGTCTTCTTAAGAATTTTTCGCTCGGTAAGGAGGCTGGTCTCATCACTGATTCTGGCCGGGTGTCGAGAGTTTTCAGGCCGCCGTTCTTTGTCGCAAGGTGGTGGTGCGAGTCTGCATGGAGGTAGCGGTTCGGATGCGTGAGTTTTCTATAATACTGCGTGTCCTAGGCTACCGTCGTCACGCCTGCTCACCAAGTCGTCGAGGAAAGGCAAATGCTATCCTCTTTCACCTCCACGGTGTACTGGATCTTAGGATGGGCGCTGTTGAGATAATCCAAAAATTCCTGGAGTGTGCCCTGTTCGTGGGGCCAATTAACGAACGTGTCGTCTACACATCTGATTCACATAGCTTGTTTCCATGTGGCGTTTTCGAGTGTTTCATTTTCGAAGGCCTCCATGAAGAGGTTGGCAGCTATCGGCGATAAAGGAGGACAATTAGCTGCGCCTTCTGCCTGATAATACACGCTACCTCGGAACTGGAAGGGGGACGAAGTGGACTTACTATTCGAAAATCGAAGTATGCCGATTTTTTAGAGAGAACGGCGGCGCCAGTTCTGTCACTTCCCGTCATCGCCGCTAGATCGTACTAAGTATACAATAGGGAGGTTTTTCTTACACCTGGAAAAATTGTAGTTTTTGCACCGCATAGCGCACAGCAGTTGACTTCAGTATCGATCTTCTGCGCATTCGCAGATCAATAGAGCTGTCAATATCTGAAACTGAAGCGTTATTCGTATCGCATAGTACAGGGTCAATTTGCCGGATCCGTGAGAGGTCTCTTCAAACTCTCTTCTTCTTGGGTTGTCCGCTCCTCGTCCCCGTACACACGGGGATTGGGAGTCGTCGATTGGAAGCGTTATTGTAATGATTTTTGTTTTAGAAAGAACGATGGCATTGCTGTACGCTATGCCAAACCAAAACTTACAAATTTGTTTCTGTTGAAAAATATCAATTTCGTGCCATCCTTACGGATGAGTTATCTTAAGTCTACTGAGGATGTATCTTTGCATGAAGCATCATGGAGTTACCTATAGTGAGCTGCAGCGAGCTCTCAATTCGATACGATAATATTGGCGATTTTTGTTGTTGTTGTTGTTGTTGTTGTTTCATGGCTAGTTCTCAGCTGTTTTTTCTTTCCTCCAAATTGGTCCAACTGTCGTATTGGTCATATATGTCCAACCCAACTCGTGCTCTGCGAAGTATAGTTAAAGCGTATGACGAAGAGCTATATTTTATTTCATAGTAATTTAGTTGTTTGTCCTATGATAGAATTATAGACTACTAATAGCGTCTGACCGAGCGAAGTGGATCAGTGCTTACTGCACTGACTTCGAAATCGGGAGGTCCGGGTTCGCTCCCTGGGCCGGCCATCCTGATCGGGGTTTTTCGTGGTTTCCCTCGGTCATCAGGCGAATGCTGGGTTAAAACTTCCACTATCACTTCCCACCATCATCACCCTATCACTTCATTCATCTGGGCCATTGGGCAGCAGTGTCTGGAGAACAAGATAGATGGCGCTGCTGGAAACAAAAGTCAGTCTGACACAGTGTATACCAGAGAGTATACACACATGTCACGGGTGCCTCAGTCGATTACTTTATGGAAGCTGAAAATTGGTACTGCGACAGTGGCGCCACAAATCACTTCACCTCGAATAAACAGTAGTTTACATCGTATGAGAAGTTTACCGTTCCTGAAAAGATTTCGCTCGGGAAACTACGTGTAAATATGCTGGCTCATGGACTAGGAGGTGTGAAGTCTGAAATATGCTTGGTCGAATGCCATACTGAAACACATTTGGATATTCTTGAAAAGTGCCCATTTATTTTCTGTGAAATCAACTGCCAAAAATGTTTTTTCTACGAGACTTTTTGATCGAAGTGAATAGTGCTCTCGTGGCTCATGGCGGGTTCGATTCCCTTAGAATCCCCGTAGTCCCGTAGAACCTTATGTGAAATTTGTTACCACAAAACGAGTTTGCCTATTTCACAGGGTGTGGTCCAAGAGCTGTGAAGAGGATAATGTTCTTCAATATCAGCTCAATACTGCCATTTACCAACCAGTAAAGAAAATATTTGAATATCTCAACTTCAATAGTTTTATCTTATATACCAGTATCAAATATGTTTCAGCCAAAGTTATGACAAAGGGGTTTGAGTTACACATTTTGATGGTACTTAGGTAAAATTTTGAATTTTCTGTTCTCTAAATTAGTACTTGGTCTTTAAAACAATACTCTTATGTAGGTTTTACTGAAATATTGTAGGCATGTAGAATATTAATGTAATTACAATTTGTCGATTTTCTTCAGATATCAATGTAGACCATTGAAAATTCAACTTTGTAACTTGTATATGAATTTGTCCATTTCATCATGTCTATTCAAAAACTTGCTTATATACACTGGAACAGCTATTTGCAAATGTTTTCTACTTTACCACAGAAAGGATGGGTCTTGTAATTCTTATAACATTGTGTTGTAATTTTACTGAAGAAAAAAGATGTAGCTGTGAATGGAACATTTAATTCCATACGTGTCATCTATTCATTACATACACCCTTGTTTAACACAGTATTTATTTGATACTGATATAACAGGTTTGATTATACAAAGAGAAAGGTAAATCAAAATAAAATATATCTCTGAAAATACACCATGTTACAAAACAAGTTGCATGTTTATACAAAACTTTGTAAAATTGCTTCCAAAATTAAACCTAAGATATTCAAGACATTTTGAAAATATAATGTTTATGTCTTTTTTCTTTTGCATACCCCTTTTCTTGTTGAGTTCTCTCATACGTTTTTATTTATTGCCTTTTATAGGCTGTTTCATGTCATGCTTTTGGAGCTGCCTTGTCACTCTGGATCTCATGGTCTTAATCATATTCAAATGATCTCCCTGTGTGAGCTCTTCTTTGCTCTCTTTGACTTCTTTTGTTTCTTTTTCTTTTTTATTACAAATGGAAAGACTTTTCTTTTCTTTTTTGTTGGTCTGCACAATTCGTTTATTTCCTGACAATACTTCCTCATGTTTTTCAACTGGAAATTTTTTACTGGGACAACTTTTAACAATCAAGCTTTGTGCTTTTACTTCTGATCTAGGACTGGATTGTGAATAAGGTATTTTAAAGTCTCTCCGACGATTTAATTTAGTTTTCTTACATATTGGCTTGATATCACTTGCTGCATAGAATGTGCTAGTGGCATCTTCTTTGTCTTGGGTCTCCTCTTCCAAAAGATACTTCAAAAAACCAACTCCTTTTGGAAGCACTATATCAGATCCATTTGCAACTGGTTTTCTATTTGCAATTAATTTTGCTTTAATACTGTATATGCCAAAAGCATGTCTTGGAATTTTATCACCATCACCATGATGTTGTATTCTGTAAAAGATAAGAAAAGTTTGTATAATAGCAGGAAGGGGAAACTACTTTCGTAATTATATTTCTTCTGTTCTTCTCATTTTGGTTCCTAACAATACGGTGTGGTAAGTGAAAAACTATACCAGCTGAACGGTGGGTATAAATAATAAATTGTGAATATTACAATACATTTAGAAATATTGCAGAATATTAGTGCTTAAAATCTGGTAGATGTAGACATTGCTCAAGACTGTTTACATCTTATTATTATTACCTGCCTTCGTGGGAACTTGAAAATTATGAAACTGCACTTGGCAGATAGAAAAATCTTAAAAGCTTCCAACCTCTCATGCATGTTGAAGATGTTTGAGAAAGTAATTTTATTAAATTTCATTGTTGATAATAAGAGATGAAGTATAGTCTGATATGATGCTAACAAATGCTGTATCATTTTTATTATTAAATCAAAGTATTTATTCAGGTAACTATATTTTATTTCAAGTTTTGGAGAATGTTTTAGTATTTGATTTAATAAGATTCATGTGTTTCTCAGAGGAGAATGTTTTTGTTATTTTAACCATGGACTCAAATTTAATATCAATGCAGCCTAGATAAATGCTACAGATACTTTTGAGAATCAGGAACTTTCATTTATAATATTATAATAAAACTTTTATATTAATATTAATTTTTGCAGTTATTCGTTTTATTTGACCTGTTGAATCATTATAGTCCATACAAGAATTCAATAATAAAAAAAAAAATTTAAGTCTTGGAACTTGTTTTCTAACATGATCCTACGATATAATGTTGTGAAATGTTATGATTTGGCAATGCCGTTCTCAGAGTTTTTTCTACTTGCCTAGAATTATATCTTGGATAAATCTTCAAATATAAAAAAGGCATCTTAAGAATTCTTAATATTCTTGCAATAATTAATATATTATGACCAACAGTATTAATGTTTAAATAAAGTTTTACCTACATTAAGCTTGGCTTTTGAACAGTACACAATGAGTACTGATTGATTCTTGAAAGAAATCATTTTTGTAATATTGCTAATCTACATACCGATATGCTTCCCCACATTTCCAGAGCCAATATTCCATGTCTTCTAACCATGTTTGTTGACGACCAATCACAGATCCAGGGCGACATATTCTCAACCAAGCTATAGCTTCTTGAGCAGTCATACGGTAGTGTTTCATAAGATAGGCTCCTATGAGAGATCCTGTGCGCCCAAGTCCAGCCTACACCAGGAAAATTAAATTACAAAGACACACAAATCTTTTCTAATTAAGATCATAAATTATTGTACCTTGCAATGTACTGCAACTGCTCCTTTAGCAGCTTCTGTTATTTTTAGAAATTTTTCAGCAATCATTTGTGAAGGGACACCACCATCCATAAAATATAAATCAAAGTGTTGAATTCCTGCATCTATAAACCTAAATTTCCATTAATTGAGTTTAAGAAGGCATAAGTAAATCCATTCACAGAATTAACTATTAGAACAATTTACAAATCTCTCAACTTACACACGTGCATCATAAGCTTTTTTGTTAAGACGAATTACTGTGCTAATGCTGTTACGTTTGAAATAAGGCAAATAAAATTCTGGTGGTTTATATACAGTCAAATGTTCTGATGAAGGTCCACAAAAGGCAAGAAATTTACTAGGAAGAATCCAATTTAAGTCTCCATGTTCTATGTTGTCATAGTACTCATATTCTGTCAGATCAAAATCACTGAAATTGAAAAATCCACACTGCAGTGCTCTGAAATAAGAAAATGAACAATAAAATGTAGATTTGCAAATTCAAGAATTGAATGACTTTTGTAAAAATGAAAGAAAATATGAAACCCTGAACAGTGAGTTTCATCTTTTATTTTATGTTTTAAGTTTTTTCGTGTACAGTCCTTCCAACTGTTTATAGGGTAATCAGTTAAAGTTAAATTAAAGGTAGCAATATTTACATTGAAAAATCCTAGAATTGATGTTGCATAATTAATTATATGTTGGAAATTCTTCAAACTACGCATTATACTAATAAAGCACGGAATTCATGAAAAGTGTTTTTCTCTACTCTTAAAGATAGTTTTTAATTTGAGGTACCAACCTGTACACACCGTCCAGTACATCCATTAGACGTATTTGGTATGCAGACGCCCCAATGGATGCATCTTGAAAAGCCCGAAAAGTATGTCCTTTTTCAGATAATAGCGGTCTGAATGCCTCTCTAGGTACCATTTTTAAATAAACAATAGCGTACGATGCTATTAAATACGCTGCATTTATTCTTTTCTGTGGATTATTTGATGTGTAATGAATTATTTTCTTTTTTCCGTTAGCTAAACATTTTAGTTTAGTATTCACTTTAGCACAGTATCTATACAACATCGCGAGATTTAATGGGCCGAAGTCTGAATAATAATTCACGTACACTAATTCATCGTCGATTGAAAAGTAATGAACGTCAGGTGTATTTTTGGGTTCCTTTCTTGAAGATAAAGTTACAAAGTACAGGCGATCTTTGATATATTCGCACAAGTGGACTTGTTCACCGTTAATTGTTTGCTTCGATTCCATTATAGTGGTGAATTAGTAAGTTAGTAAATTGCTTGTGTGTTCTGCGTTTTCCCACCTTATGATGCTGGTATTAGGGCATTATTTATTATCTGAACCAAAATTTGTGAAAAGATTTTCATTCTGAGAACTTCGTAGTTCCTCTTGGAAGTATTTAGGTACTAGATGTGATGTAACTGGATAAATTTTGTCCGTTGAATATCTCTACTTGGGTAAATAAAACTACTCACACCATAGCATATCAAATTTTATACAGTAACCTTTATTGCAAGTTATTACGCGAAGTGCATCGCAAAACATTAGAAAATAAGCCATTGTTGATTCGTGTTTTTCAGAATTGATTTGGAACATGAACACTGAAAGAATTACAGATAGTTTTTAAAGATTGGCTTATGCGTAAAGTCATAAACTTACAACACATAAATTAAAGGTATATTACAATGCGAACTTGACCAGAGAAATTATGGTCAACAGTCGTTAAATTGCGGTTAATCGTGCAACCGCCTTTAGAAGTTACGAAAACATAGTACCAGTATTGACCACTAGATTGCTCAATTGGTGCAAGATCTCCATAACTTAACAGATATAACAGTGAATTTAAAAAAATATATATAATTCGTATAATAAAATATTGAATTCTTCCTTTTTTTATATTTGTAAGAGCAGTCGTTAGAGTTGGTGCGAAGGATTGTGAATCACAATTGACGCAAGAGGTGGCACCTGGGTGCAGGGCAAGTGTCAGTAAAAAGGAGGCCTGTGGCAGAAGATCCAGGGATCCACGGGAGCTCGTTATTTCAAACAGATTCAGACAACCTCCCATTCATTATTTTTAAATTGTAACTAAAACGGGCGGTTCCAAAAACGAATTGGGAGGGGAAATTTTTAAATTCAAAATAGTTTGATTGAATGTGTCATATTACAGATTATGTAGAATGTAGCAGGCTAAACTCTGCTCATGTTTGAATACAATTTTATTCATTTTAATGTTTACTACCGTACCCGTGCGAAAACTCGCATGTTAATCCCCATCCTATCAAACTAAAATAAAAACAAAGCAATTCACGTTTGAAACATTTTCAATAAAGGCTTAGTCAGTATTAATATATAATATTATATATATAATATTATATTATATAAAAGTTCTAACAATTTACGCTTTCTTAAAAACATTTGAAGTATTTATTCAATCTTCCTTGACAGTTAGTTTTTGTCTTTCCTTGATAGTCACATAAATATTAGAAAAGGTTTTTACTCTTGAGAAAGCCAGTAAAGTTTTCCATGCGAAAATACAGAATCACGCAAGTACAATGTACTCTTTGCAATGTTATTTAACTTTCCTGGATTTTTTTTTATTAGAGAGGATTTTGAAGGGGCAGGGCGCCAGCTCGCGAAAATTGAAAAATTATTTGTATACTGAAAAGTATTGGATTATTTTATGTGTTTTTACGTAACTCAGGGAAAGCAATTCCGAACCAAAACTATAATAAAACTAATATTTTCACCTTTGAATAATAAATAACATTTGTTATCTTTAGAAGCAAGTCAATATGCTTATTCTTCACTTTGGTATATGGGAATGTTGCCCGAACGTTTTTTACGTATTGAATATTTTAGCGAACCGACACGTTAAGTTTAATATCAAACAGTGTATTCATTACAATATCCATATAGAGTTTACAGCTGGGCATTGATTTACAGACTTTCAGGTACTGCCAACATTTCATTCGTGCCTCTGGATTGTGATTGTTGGCAGTTGTCTTACGCTATTCTTGCTACAATTTTAAATTTGATTGCTTTTTAAATTAATTCACGTAGGCTAACACGTTTTGATTTTTGTTATTCATTTATTGCAAGGTTTTTACTGTAGTTAGTTTAAAATGTTTGTTCTATATGTTATGCCATAGCGCAAGTTTTCCCCTACTACCTCCGAGAACTCTCGCACAGAGAGTATATATGCTCTCGCATGTTAAACCCCACACCCTTCCCTATTCTTCTATTTCCATTCTATGAGGGAAACTTATTAACAAAACGTATTTATTTGTTGAAAAATGTATAAAGGTAACTTCCATTGTACTAACACAATATCAAATAAAAAAACAATACAATTGATGTTGAAAATAAATTTGTAATAATGATTTATTCAGTATTATCGAAAGATTTCTTGGAACAATCCCTTCAAAATGCTTCCTTAAAAATATTTCAAGTCATTATTCAACATTGACTGTTGGATTTTCGTGTTAGTCACAGAAGTATTTAAAAAGCTTTTTTTCTCTTGAGAAAGCTACGTGACTGAACACACTGACTTCATCGAATCACGTTTCACCGAATCACTACTGATAACGAAAATATTGGCACACGTATTTTCAAACCTAACAAAACGCTTCTTCACTTTTCACTGTACACCCTCATTCCTCCACAATTAGGTACACAGCATTTGTATACTGCGGCTAAATATTAAATGAATGTTTTATCTACACATAAGAAACAAACTTCAGTGGAATCAAGCAACTATTAATAGTACTTCTAGTTGTTGCTGCAAGAGCGAATCTTGAATTAATAATTTTGCAAATAAACTTCGTCAGTCTGTGCAAACCACGGTGTACACAGAAAGCGTAAATAGTATAAGATAAAGAATATAAGCCCTTTAAGCGTGATATCACAAAGATGGTCACCATAACCAAGGGTTGAAATTGCATTGATGGCATTGGTGCCACCAGTGCCGAAACAGCAAAAAGTTAATAGAATGTCCAAGAGTATCTCATCCTATAGTTTGTGGTCTAACAAACGTTTCTTTGAGGCATTTGGCCTTATATTAGTTTTTAAGGCGCTAAAACGCTTCATTAAGAGTTATTTAACGAAATAGCCAACTGAGTACTGTGGGTTGCAGTTGACATGAATATTTGAATGCGTTTTTTAAATAAATCCTTTATATTTTGAAAGTCAAAGTGCAATTCGTCACGTCTCCGTAAAATTCTCTTTCTTTAGATGCCACATTTATAAAGATTGGTTGCCTATGAGAGTCGCAAAAGGTATGTATACTACTGAAATAATACGGGAGATGATACGAAAATATTTTTGCTTGAAAGTTTCCTGACAATTTAAAATTAATAATTACTGAAACATTTGGGGAGGGGAAATTTCCTTCTTTTCCTTCCCGTGGATCCCACCTGACTAATTATTTTTAGTTAAAAACTTAATTCGTTCGATATTCAAATTACAATGTGTTATAATATTATTCTTACAGTTTTTTTCGTTCTTTACCTTTTATAATTAACAGAACCATCATGAAAATTAATAAAACAAAACGTAATTTTAAGAAAATAAACAAGAAACTATTAGAAAACTTTTTTATTTATATTGAACTGTCTGGTACAAATTACAAGATAAAAGGTTGAAATTTTGTGAAAATGTAGGGATTTTACAGGGCTACAATTTATATTTATCCATTTTTATGGTCTGTGTCAAATCATGAGATAATCTTAAAAACGAATTTTTTTTCTCTTTATCCCTTCTTTTTTGTTGATTGTAAGGGTCAAAATCGGATATAACTGCGTGAAAAAAGTCTCTTACATCTTTATTATCTATAGAAAATCGCAAGGGTTAAAGTCAATATTGGTCGGTATAATTTGGTTAAAAAATGAAACTTAAGAAGATAAAAATACTTTTTTTTTCATTTATACGAAGTACTCTGGGTAAATTGATTTAAATCCGGTGAAAACTTTTTTACCTTCTCGCTACCGCTTTCGCAGTAAAGGAAAAGTTTCGTAATGCTGCGAGAAAAAAACGGCAAATTTTTGGCCGTAAAACTTTTATTTCAGGGCCCCGGTAACGAAAAAATGGATAAATAAGTCGCTAAATTTAGAAAAAATCCTCTGACACATTGTGTAGCCAGAATCCACGTACGTAAGGGCGTCAAAATAAAACTAACTAGTAGGAGAGAGTGTGTGCGTCATTCTTTAGCACCATCACTTATATTCTGTATATGAACTTACAGTGAATACGTAATAATATATGAAATGGTGCGGAAAATCTATTTAAACTTTTGATCCCCTGATACAGAAAAAGTGTTTTTTCTTCTTCTTCTTCTTCTTCTTCTTCTTCTTCTTCTTCTTCTTCTTCTTCTTCTTCTTCTTCTTCTTCTTCTTCTTCTTCTTCCAAAACGTCCGCCTGTCTGTCTCTCCGTGGGCCTGCCAACAACACTAGCGCCTAAGTCATTCATGATATTTTTCCAAAATGAATATCCTTCAGTCGATCCAGCACGTCTGGAAGCTGTGACATTTTAAAAACTTTTCTTTGCATGTCGCTCCTGCATTTTAAAAATTTTCTCAAAAATGGCTCTAAACTTTATCTTTATATTTTTTGTAATAAAAGAGTGAAATACAGTTATAAAGATGGCATAGGAACGATTTCTCTGTTAACTCTGAATTTCGAAAATAGGAAAAGTTTGAAATATTGGCCGCGTCTTCCCAAAAATATAAAATTGAAGATTGAGAATTTTTATTAAAATGAAATCTGTTCCCCATAATTAGTACTTTCATTAATATCTTGTACTTTTAAAAAAGTCAGTAGATTTCGTGCAATTGTGAGTGAAAAATGAGCAATATTAAGACATATCGAAAACAACAATTTCTCAAAAACGGCTCCAAACGTTTTCTTTAAATTTC